GAACCATGAGAAATAAATGTTTAAGCCAGTGGTCCCCAACCTTTTTGGCACCAGGGACTGGTTTTATGAAAGACAATTTTTCCACAGATAGGTGGAGCAAGGCAATGGTTTCGGGATAAAACTGTTCCACCTCAGATCATCAGGCATTAGATTTTCATAAGGAGTGTATAACCTAAATCCCTTGCATTCACAGTTCACAACAGGGTTGTGTTCCAATGAGAATCTAGTGCCGCCACTGATCTGACAGGAGGCTGAGCTCAGGCGGTAATGCTTGCTCACCCACTGCTCACCTCCTGCTATGCCGCCTGGCTCCAAACAGGCCACGGATGGGTACCTGTCTGTGGCCTGGGGGTTGGGGAACCCTGGTTTAAGTCATCCAGTCTATGGTACTTTGTTATGGCAGCCCAAGCTAAAACAGTTCAGTACTTTGAGATCAATGTAAAAATTACCTTTTCCTTAAACAATCTCTATGATCCATTAACAAATGAAGGTCAGATAGAATATTCCAGAATGCTGTGATACTGAGGACCCATGTGTCCCATCATTCTTGATTTTTTTTTTTTTTTTTTTTTTTTTGAGACAAGATCTTTATTGCCCAGGCTAGACTTGAACTCTCAAATTCCTGGGCTCAAGAGATCCTCCTGCCTTGGCCACCCAAAATGCTGGGATTGCAGGCGTGAACTACTGGTCCTGTGAGGACTAGCTTTTTAAAGAGGCATCAGGGCCAGGCACAGTGACTCACACCTTGTAATCCCAGCACTTTGGGAGGCCAAGGCAGGTGGATCACTTGAGCTCAGAAGTTTGAGAACAGCCTGGGCAACAGTGGTGAAACCCCATCTCTACAAAAAAATACAAAAACTAGCTGGGTGTGTTGACACACACCTGTGGTCCCAGCTACTAGTGAGGCTGAGATGGGAGTTCTGCTCGAGCCTGGGAGGTCGAAGCTGCAGTGAGCCAGATTGCATCAATGCACTTCAGCCTAGGTGACAGTGAGAATCTGTGTCAATAAATAAATAAGCAACAGGTACCAAATATTCACAAGAGATTTCTGCCTCTCAGCATGGGTGCAACTCTCATCCCACTCAGGATAATGGTGACAGCTGAGGTACTGAACATTGGTAAAAAACTGTATAAGGCTAAAACAAGAGGTCTATGAATTGTTTGGTAGATAGGCCAGGAAAAGTCCTCCTGCTGTCCAGGGACCGGACTACAGCAGGAAATGCAGTTAGAATCACCTGGAAGGAAAAGCTGCAATTTCAAATAAAATTACCAGTTGCATTTTTCTACTACAGGAAGCAGGTATTAAAACTGCTTTCACCAGAAAATGTGAGACAGCTTTCATTGTGCCCCAGTATGAAACAATTCCAGTTGAATGGGTTTGCAACTGGTTCTTTATTCAAAAGAAATCCTGGTGTCAAGGAAGGATATGAGTTTTACCCACCTACAGTGGACATGTTTTTCAAGGATGATACCAATAACGACCCACAGTGGTCTAAGGAACAGCTAATTGCAGCAAAATTAGGCTTTGCTGCGCTTGGTATAAAACTGAAGTGGATATCGTGAGTCATGCTACATAGGCTGTTTTTGAAATTCTGGAGAGATCCTGGTTGCCCCCCAGAACTGTACACTGGTTGATATGACCAGCAAAGAAACTGTTCCCACTGATGTCATTGATACTGATTCCTAGAGACACTGACCATCAGGTGATCAGAGCCAATAGAAAGACAGTCTTTCAATCATACTTTAAAAAATATTATTTAAAAAAATAGAGACAGAGTCTTGCCATGTTGTCCAGGTTAGTTTCGAACTCCTGGGCTCAAGTAATCCTCCTGAAAGTGCTGGGATTACAGGCATGAGCCACGACTCCTGGCCAAAAGATAAAGTCTTACCAAGTCTTCAGTGTAACTCCTGAAGGTTTGCAGATGGTAAGGACAAACTTTGTGTGGGTTGTAGAGAGTAGAGTCGCTTTTGAAATCACAGTCAATGCAGTCTTGCAGTACTGTTGGGTTCTATTTCTGACCTTAAGTCACTGTGAAAAAAATCAAGAAGGCCTGTGGAAATTTTGGCATTCCATGTGGACTTTGAGTAATATCTGCACATAAATGACTAGATGAAACTCTGAGGATTAAAGCTGAGTATGCAGAGGGGGCATTCGTACTGTATTTGTGGCAGTGGCAGGGAGAAGCAATGGTTTGGGATAAGCGATGTTTGGGAACACTGCATATCCAGTTATCTGCTGTCCTCCCCTCACACCAGACTGAGGTGTTCAGGATGTGTTGTCTCAGCTGTTCAACCATACTTTCTCCAGAAGGATGAGCACAGTTTGCTGCTCATATATTTGGATTAAACAAGCATTTATTATGGAGCAAACTGCAAGCAAGCACTTTGAACACATGGATTTCCTGGAAGAAAGGTGACAAGAAAATCAGAGAAAGAACATCATTGCATTTTTTTTAGGGGGAAAAGTACACATTTCTAATTTAGCTGCAGAAAAATCAAGCAAGATGAAAAAAATTACAGAACACAAAATATATCAGTGAATACGTGCTTCTCTATATTAAAAAAAAATCACAACGAAATTACAACAGGTAAGTGCTGTGAAAAATAGAAACATGGTGACATAAGAAGAGCCTGACAGGGGGAACCGAAGCTAGTCCTTAGAGTGTAAGCCAGCTTCCCTAAGGAAGTGACATCTGGGCCGGGCGCGGTGGCTCACGCCTGTAATCCCAGCACTTTGGGAGGCCGAGGCGGGTGGATCACGAGGTCAAGAGATCGAGACCATCCTGGTTAACATGGTGAAACCCCGTCTCCACTAAAAATACAAAAAATTAGCTGGGCATGGTGGCGCGTGCCTGTAATCCCAGCTACTCAGGAGGCTGAGGCAGGAGAATTGCCTGAACCCAGGAGGTGGAGGTTGC